GTAAATTTATTTGTGTGTGAGTACAATACAGTTTCCTCTTATGGTTCATGTTGATGAATGCATTTTTTCCCTCTGCTTAAAGAAGCTAGTCCAATTACTCCTTTTAATTGGGACAGTGTGCAGAGGACTTCTATACATCGAAGTCTTTCTGTCTCTTAGGTTCATAGGATTTAGTCTTTCCCTGTGAGTGAATTTTTTTTTTATTCTCCCCTTCTCTTGCTTTCTCCAGAATCTTACAAATTAAGACAAAAGATAATTACTTGCAGGGGTAAAACTGGCAGGTTCCCACGACACTTAAAATTAATGAGCTGTTGAGTACAAAATATACCTTGTCTTTGGTTCTGCCTTCTGTGCCCAGGCTTCCCTCCCCTCTTTCTTCCCATTTAACACATGATTTGGCTTGTTGGCTGTGTTTGCCATTTGGGTATATTGCTGCTATAAAATAGTAAGATGGTTACAGAAACTGGGTTCGTTTGAAAACCATCTCTTTGTTGGCAGATCAATGTTAATTTGATGCAGTTTTCAATTTTTGCATATTTGAAAACTTTCCCCCTCTTTGGGATATCCTATCAAAATATGCTTTAGTAGCACGCTTGACGAGGACTCTGCTCCGGCACTGTTGTTAGCAGCTCAGACCTGCCTCATCCTGCCTCTTCTCTAACTGCCAGGGCTTTGCTTTCTGCAACATTTTCCTGAGGACTAGGGTTCACGGTGCTGGTGGAAGGTCCTGCAAGGCATTTGAATAGAAGCAAAGAGCTGTGTATTTGAGTCCCAGCACAGGTGTGTTTGCTGAGGAAGCATCTGCTCTTTTTTCAGGTCTTAGATATTTGCTGCTTGCCTGCACCCACATGGGAGACCAGGAGGGGGCATCTGGCTCCTGGCTTCGGATTGGCACAGCGGCCATTTGGGGGGTGAACCAATGGAAGGAAGACTTTTTTTTTTTTTTTTGACAGGCAGAGTGGATAGTGAGAGAGAGAGACAGAGAGAAAGTTCTTCCTTGCCGTTGGTTCACCCTCCAATGGCCGCTGCGGCCGGCGCACCACGCTGATCCGATGGCAGGAGCCAGGTACTTATCCTGGTCTCCCATGGGGTGCAGGGCCCAAGCACTTGGGCCATCCTCCACTGCACTCCTGGCCACAGCAGAGAGCTGGCCTGGAAGAGGGGCAACTGGGACAGAATCCGGCACCCCGACCGGGACTAGAACCTGGTGTGCCGGCGCCGCTAGGCGGAGGATTAGCCTAGTGAGCCGCGGTGCCGGCCGGAAGGAAGACCTTTCTCTCTGTCTCTCACTGTTTAACTCTGCCTGTCAAAAAATAAAAAGAAAAAAAAGAAAAAAGATATTTGCTGCCTGGCCATGGTGTGCACTGGCCTCAGCCCACCATTCATTTGGAAAGCAGTGTGTGTGAGAAGCTGATCTTCATCCCGGCTAAGCCCTTTCTACATTAGGGTTGGATCCCCGAGTTTTCAAAGCACCTGTGATAGAGCGGCTGCATCAACCCCATTGTGCATGTGAGAACACTAAGGCTTACATAGGTAGCCTCACCGTGGTCGGATAGTTAACAGATAACTTTGCCTGTCAGCTGAGGTTGCCCGTCCCAGAATCTGGGCTTTGTTTTGGAAACTTGTGGGTGCTAGGATAGACTGGAAACCAATATGAAAAAGAGTGCAACCCTGTGGTTTTGGGCATTTTGGTCTCAAGACTTCCCTTTCTACTCCTCAAAACTACTGAAGGGCAACCTGGGTTTTATTAATGTTGGTTGTATAAAGGCAGGAAAATTTTAAAGTGCTAATTTAAAATTACCACAATCCATGTTACATTCACAAAAATAGCATTTTATGAAAAATCATGTGTTCTAAACCCGAAGTTTTAGTATTAGATTACAGTGTAACAAATTTCTTGACTGTCCAGCTTAGTTGACGACAACCAGATTCTTGTGTCTGTTTCTGCACATACGTAGTTTGGCTTGATTTGTATGAAGATAATTGGTCTCAGACAGGTACATATTTGGCCAAAAGGGAGCCATCATAGAGGGTTTTGTGCTTTAACACCATACCCAGACTCTGAAAGTGGCCGGTTCCCAGAGGTCAGTGGCTATGGGAATTTGAACTTCTGCCTGTGAACTTTTTGTACTCTTTTTTTTCTTTTTTTTTTTTCAAGAATTATTTTATTTATTTGAAAGAGTTACAGAGAGAAGTAGAACCGGAGAGAAAGAAGTCTTCCATCCCATTGGTTTACTCCCCAAATGAACGCAATGGCCAGAGCTGAGCTGATCTGAAGCCAGGAGCTAAGAGCATCTTCTGGGTCTCCCACGCGGGTGCCGAGGCCCAAGGACTTGGGCCATCTTCTACTACTTTCCCAGGCCGTAGCAGAGTGCTGGATTAGAAATGGAGCAGCCGGGATTCGAACTGGTGCCCATATGTTATGCCGGCGTTGCAGGCTGGGGCTTTAATCCACTGTGCCTCAGCACCGGCCCCCTTTTTGTAGTCTTGTCACCTCATACAATACATTGATTTGTCTTTCTCTTTTGGGTGGTTCTTTTATTATAATGATGTACAATTTTGTAGCATCTTATATTGATCATTTGAAAATCATGGCTCACTGAATGACTTACACATCTTATATCATTCCCAGCACTTTGTATGATAGAGTATGAAAGAATCCCTTATGTATCTCCACTGAGTTCATCAGAAGGGTCTTCTGGATGCTATTGACAGGCTGTCAAACTAAAGGCAGAAGCAGTTTCCCCAAAATACTAGTAATAAAGAAAAAAATGATTAATGGTTCATTTTGGTGCTACTGTCTATATTTATGCTAAGGTAGCTGTTTTCCAAAGTGGGTCCCCCATTTTATATTCCCAGCAGTAGAATATGAAAGTTGGCAGTTTCTTCTCATCTTGCCAGATGTCATCATTATCTGTCTTTTGATGAGAGCCATACTCTTGAATGTGAAGTATGATATCTCCTTGTGGTTTTGATTTGCATTTCCTTGTTGGCTAACCTACCTTTTTCTTGCACCCTTAATCCATGTTGTCAACCCAATAAAGAGGCAGATATAGTGTTGTTACTATTATGAAAATAGTTTAGAGTCTAGCAGAGTCTCTGCAAGGGTCTCTGGGTCTCCCAAGTATCCATAAACCTCCTTTGAGACCACGTGCTCCTCACCATGCTAGTAGAAAGCGTGGGGTGTGTTTTCAATGTAATATTTCTTACTACTCAGGTAGGAGATTGGCAGCTCCTCCATTTCTGAAAGTAGTGATATTTAGAAGCTATTGGGGGGCACTGGGACAAGTCGTGGCTTTACGGGGCTTTCTCCCCATTGAAGGCCCCCATTAAAGGTATGACAGGCACGTTCCCTGTGGCAGAGGTAATGATCCCACACAGTACCAGGTTATGATGGGTCTTGCTCAAGTGCTGGCTATATCGAATCCTGATCCCTGCACTAAGTACAGGGAGGGCTAGGACGGAAGAGCAGATCATGCCCACAGTCTGACTAAATGGCGACCTGAATTGGCCCTTGTGAACATGCAGTCATGATGTCTCTCAAATGTTGGCTGCTACTGAGCCCCGGACGTTGCACTAGGTGGTCCACATATAGGAATGTCTTATTCCAATTTACATATGAGAAAACTGCCCAGTACCAAGCACATGGCTAGGAATTGTACTTCAAATAAATTGTAAAAACTGGAGCAATCCCATAGACTTTTTTTAATTGAAAGAAAAAAGTAATTATAGAACTTGTGCTTCTTAATAGGAGGATGCACTGGGAGGCATATCTTCATGACAGTAAAAACAGACGTATGGAGTTGGTTTAATAAAAAAAGCATCTACTTTGTCTACTGTTTCAATAAAGGAACTGTATTCACTGCTTTAGAAAATTGGTGAACAGTCAAGAATTGCCTGGGTGCATGTTCCTTGGCTTGATTTTTAATCACATTGAAGTATGACTTCTTATGGATGTTGCTTTTCATTTGTCTTGAAAGCAAGCACAGACGCTGCCAGCTTGGATGTGATTGATGGCTCTGACAATGGTTGGTTGCTTACATTTAGAATAAATGCCAGCCATTTGAAGCTCTCCATTTTCTCTGTAACAGAGTATCCAGGAGAACCTTGTGCAAAATGGGAGCATATCCTCTATTTTGACGAGATGTGGTCTTTACTTCACTGTTTTAAACCTGTTTTGAATTTGTAATCACTAGTGTTGGAAGGATTGCAGAGAGTAGGGCGCACATCCAGCTGAGATGGAAAATGTTCATCTCTAGCTTATACCTCATACAGTGGACTACATAGGGTGAAGAAATGAATCCGAAAACAAGTAGAAGGAAACTTAGATTATTTTATCACTTGAAAAAACTGGAGGAAGGTGAGGGAGATTTTGTTCAAAGGGCCCATAAACTTTCTGCAATAGGAGTTATGAGCTATGTGGCATGGTTCCCGAAGTAAAGAATAATGATTATATACTGAAAAATTGCTTAGGAAGTAGTTGTTAAATGTTCTTTGCACACAAAGTAAGTAGGTGAGGTGGTAGATGTGTAATTGTATCGTAATGTGTATGTATTTAAAAGAATGTCAGGGATTGCGCGTAGTGCAGCGAGTTAAACTGCCACTTGAGATGCATAATCTCATACCCAGGTTCCTGGAATTGAGTCCTGGCCATGGCACTTCTGATCCAGCTTCCTGCTAACTTGCCTGGGAGGCAGCAAATGATGACCCATCTACTTGAGTCCCTGCCACCCATGTGGGAGACCAAGATGGAGTTGCTGGCATTTGGGGGTGAACCAAATACCAGCCCTGCACCTACTCCCACCCCACCCCCAGTGTCACACATCATAAGTATATACAGAGATTATTGTCAATTTTACTTTAATGAAGCTGGGAGAATAAAGAAGAAAATACAGAAGGACTTCCTGTGCATAAAAGACAGGAATGTTTGTAAAATTGGTTAGCTGATCTAGTACCATCCCATGACGTCATCTTCCTCTTCCCTTCTACTTCCTTTCCAGTTTTCAACGGTTCCAGCAGGTCAACACGGGAGAAAGAACCTGTTCAAAAACACAAAAGCAAAGAGGCCACTCCCGGGAAGGAGAAGCACAGCGACCACCGGGCTGACAGCCGAAGGGAGCAGGTCTCAGCATCGCAGCCCACGCCAGCCCCCTCCACGGGCTCCTCAGCCAAGGGGCTTGCTGCCAGCCACCATCCCCTCCCTCTGCATCGGTCTGCTCAGGACTTACGGAAACAGGTACTGTCAGGTGCTGCTGAGATGTGTGCAGCGCCCACCTCCCCACTTCTTCAGGGTAAAAGCAGCTTTAGAGGGCCCACAGAGCAGGAGCTGTAGCCCAGAGGTGGGGCCAGGAGACACATTTCCTTTGTGTTGAGGTGCCCATGTTAGCACGTTCTGTCCTTTGTGGATCCATCAGAGCCGAGACCCGCTGTGGCTTCGTGCTTCCTGTGAACAAACAGTGCACCCTTTCTTTTCTCTTTCACTTTCGTGCGTGGGACTGGATGGAGTAAACCTGTCTTAGTTGGTCAGAGCTCTTTCTCAGTTCTCAGTCTTGCTCTTCATCTCACTCAAGTTTCCCTCTGCAAGTGAATGAGAGAACCAGCACAGTTGGTTGAGATAAGAGCTGAGGGAGCAGCAAGTCCTGTCTTGCCCCAGGGTTTCCTGCCTCTATGCTCTGTGGCCTGTAAATGTGACTTACTCCATGGTGTGGCTTCCCAGTTGGAGGAGGAGTCCTGGGGTGCTCCTTGCAGGGCAGGCTCATGCCACCCACGTGGCTGCCATGGCCATGCTCCTTTGGATCAGGGTCACTGCAGGTGGCTCCATATATTCAGGTGGGGGTGACCCTGCAGATCTCAGAGTATTGCCTCCGTCACCCCTTTCCCTGCTTCCCTGTCTTACTCCTCCAGTGTAGTCAACCAAGATGGGGCGACTCAGGGTTCCTAGTTTGAATTTGGCTCTTACCCTGACTGTCACTGAGACTGGCTCTCACCCTGTCACTGAGACTTGAGATGTGACATTTAACTTTCTTGGGCTAAATTGTTCATTGGAGCCAGTCTTGCCAACACCTCTCACAGGGTTATTGTAAGAAATGAGAGGATAATTTTGAAACCATCCAATCTCATTAGTTACATACTCTGAAAATAAGGTCAATACAAGCAAATGGCAGGCTCCTTTGTGACTGCTTGATGCAAGTGATCAGACTGTGACCTTTCATTTTTTCAGCTGCATCAAGGATGTGGGCCCAGCGGATACTCTGATCTTTAATTATGTTTGCCTGAAAAGAAGAGTAAATGTGATTGGGCAAAATGTGAATGAGTAGGGTCAAGGGATATAACTTGTAGTAGGTACTGCTGAGAAGTGTTTTTTTGTTTATGGTTTGTTTGCTGGAATGAACTCTGTGGAGGCCCTGCCTTAATATTGCTCTCTTTGTATCTCCTTACCTTGCAAGCTTCTACCCAGCGTAGTAGTTCAGTTTTTCACAGGCCTTGGATCCCGAGACTTGAGTCACATGAATATGGACTTCACATGTGCCTTTTCCTTTGTGAGCAGGGTCTGGCCAGTGCTCTGGCCTTGCAGGCCCTTTGGAGCAGTGTGGAAAATTTGTATTTGTAACACCTTTTGTTTTCCTGAAATAATCCTTCAGTGTAAATACAGGTAAAATAGTAACAAATTTAGGCTGGTTAAAGAAGAACACTTATTCCCCCTGGAGGGTTTTGAAATACAAAAATTTCTACAACAGGCTTGAGGAGGGTTTTATTTGTGTAGGCATCTTTGTGGTCCTTAAGCCAGGATATGGGCCGTTTGGATACACTGCATGTGGTCACCTGTGGTTCTCATTCTGACACTGAGGCACAGCAGTGCTTTGGAGAAGGTTAGCTCACACTGCGTGAGCGGGCGCTCCCTGCAGGGCAGTCTGCTGAGCTTGTCAGCTGTCGGGGAACCAGGCTTGTTGTCCCTGCGGCAACAAGGCTTGCAGGGAATTCCTGGCCTTGAACAATTCAGAGAGGCCCAAAGAATTGGGAATAGAATTTTTGCAAAATGGGATTAGGAAGAAGTTGTGAAAAATGAATTATGTATACGCAAGGAGAAAATGGGAAAGTCTCCTTAGCCGGGAAATGGTGCTTGTGCTTCTGTTGGAACCAAGCTGCCTGGAGAGGGAGCAGGCGTCCCAGAGCCTCCCAGGCTTGCCTTGTCCGTTGCCCTGGCTGAAAGGCTTCCTCCCCTCCAGCTGCTGCAGTTAGCGTTTGAGTAACCTCTCTGTCCCCCTTCCTACCTCACTGCCTCACCAGTGTAGTTCTGTGCATTTTAGGCTTTCCTGTTTTGAATTGAGTGAAGTTTTAACTCTGAATGGACACCCCCAGTCCACTTATGTTTTCTCTCCCCTCCTGCTTATTTCAAGTCAGAAGCACCTCTGGTCCAGTAGCTCCCTCTGGTGGTATAAAAGAACTCGGCAGAGTCAGGGAGTGGTTGCTCTTTGAACAGGAGGTACCATCCTCCTGAGTGACTAAAGCCTTTTCAACTAGATAACCAAAAACCTCATGGTCATTTTTCCTTTTATGCTCAGCTGAGGAAGTGTGCACCTCTGCTTTTCACTTGCCATCATACTGTGTTGATTTCAGACTTGCGTATATGTGGAGGGGTGCAGGAAACTCAGTCTGGGGAAAGGGGGTTATAATATTGAAGTGTATGATTGTATTGTGGATCGGGTATGGTTTTAAAATGGAATTTTTATTAAGAAGAAGTGAACACTTGCTATCTTGGGCTTCCATACTCCTCCCCTTACCCCTTTCCTACACACAAAATAGGACTGATTTTTCTAGGGAACTAAAAGGACCTGTCCATTGCACTGTAACTTGGAAGCCCTCTAGGTCTTAGCCTTGCCTACTAAATTGAAATAACACACTTCTCTCTCTGGGACTGATTGCTCTAAAACCAACCTTAGGGCTGTGTGCCTGGGATTGCCTGAGGTCCAGTTGACAGGTGAGGGATTGTGGGCCAAGGAGAACCCCTTGGAGCTGGAGGGGAGGTCCAGACATCCACACCAGAGGCAAATTACTGAGCAGTATGCAATAGTACCATGCAGCTGCATCCTGTCATCGTCAACTCTGTGCATCGTGTGAGTTCAGGTGGTTTCTCCTGTGTGCTGTCATGGAAACACTGCCTCAGGGTGCACAGCCGAGACCCCATTCCTCCCATGTGGTGCTCTGGCCGCAATGTTTTGTTCAGCTCAGAGTTGTTGTACATGGTCTAAAGTCAACAAAGGTGCTGGCTGGGGGAGGCTCAGGGAGAGAACTTTAGTGGCAAGGGGTGAAACAATGCTTTCCTCTATTCCTTTGTATTCTTTGAGCCCAATTAAATGCCTGAATTCTGGATTTCCAGAGATGAGTGCAGGCCATGAAGCTGATACCTTTGTGTGAGATGGGAGAGTCTTGGATTTTGCAACAGCAATGCACCTGGATGGGTTATTGATTTGTTTTGTTTTGTTTTGTTTTACTCAATGTTTAGGATACAGATGGATTGTGGTGTGAACTTGTCAACTACATTCTGGCCTCTGCTGGTAGCCCAGGAAGTGTCCCCCCCCCCCGAGGGGGAAGGCAGCCAGTGACGAACCCTTTTCAGTTTTCATAACTTGTTTCTATAAAGCTCATTGTTTCGGGTCACAAGGCAGTAGATTATAGTCTTTGTGATTTTTAAACGAGCATACATGCATGATATTTCAGTGAACACTTTTGAAGATAACGGCTAATAGTGAAAGAAAAAGAGTAGAGTCACTCACTTTCTCTGATAAAGCTAGTTGAATGCAAATACTGGCAATGATGCAGTGTAAAGGTTGCAGAAATAGGTAGACAGGTGATCTTTTGGCCATCAAAGGTGGCAGCATATTGACTGCATTCCACCTAGCAGAAAATTGACCTCCCTGAAACACACCTGGCCAGAAGCTCAGGTGCCCCCATGCAGCCAGAATGAATGGACGCAAAGGAATACAAGAAAGAAGGATGCTGTCACCCCTCACCACCTGAGAACATGGCATTGGGGAGGACAGGGCCGTGCTGTGGGAGCATTGAGCCCTTTTTGCATCCTTGCTGCTTCTCTCAGAGATTGTGTAAGAGGGGCTGTGGAGCCCACATGATTTTAAAGATTCTCCAGGGATTTTCCCGGGTGCCATGTTTGAGAAGCGCTGAACTAAAACCACAGCAGAAGCGACGGGGCTGCCAGTTGGCTGTCGTAGGAGCCGGTGATGTCTGCCGCCGTCTGCAGTTGGGCATTCTGACAGACAGTTCCCTGTCCTTGGGAAGAGGCTTTGCCATCTTGTACAGGCTGCCTCAGGGTTCACTGGGGATACAGTTGCAACACATGGAACCCTCAGTGATTCAAAGGCGATTCTGTGGGATGTCCTGCCCTCAGGAATACAGACAGAGCCCTCCTCTGAGATCCTGGGTGCTTGGGGCCTCCTGTGAAGCCACAAGTAGAGGTGAGCCTAAGCTGGAGCTGACAGCAATTCCCAAGTCTTCGGTTTAGCAAGCAGGAGCATTTGAAAATAAACAAAAACTTAGATATTTGCAGTCTTCTAAATTCATAGATATTTAGTACAGAACTTTGCTTTGATCTCATCCCTGGTTTTATAAGTTTGCTTTAATTTATTGCTATAGGTCTGGTGCTATTCCATGATTTATTCCACCTCTGTCTGGCCTACTTGTATATACAGGCGAGTGATATAGGTCCAGAATGCAATTGCTGGGCCTTTCTTTTGGCCTCTCCACTGGGCCTGAGGCCCTGGCTCTAGGAGCTGGGCTCCCTGCACCTAGAAGCAGAAGTTGCTCACCAACAGGTACCCTGGGCATGGCTCACACCAGGACCTAGTGACTTTGACTGGACTACCTGTCATAGGTGATACCTACAGAAATACTGATCTCTTAGTGGCTTCTTTCCATTTTCTTTCTTTATAAATCTCTCCTGACACTTCTTGGGTGATTCTCAATGTAGTCCTCAGACCAGCTGGCAGCCCTGCCAGGCACCTGGTTAGAAGTGTACATTCCTAGGTCCCACCTGCTCACTTCATCAATAACATGGTGGCAGGGCCCTGTGATGTGGTCTGATGAGCCCCCACTGACTGAGGACCACACATGTGAGGACCTGTTGGGAAGTTGGCCCTTTCCCCCCATCCCCACATAAGCCACCGATACACGCTGCTGGGCTCAGCTGGGGACCTGCCTCTGGACACTGAGGACAGCATACACAGCCTCTTGGTGGCACTAGTTGAAAGGAGGTAACTGCTTTCAGGCCTCTTGGCCATGGCACATGTGGGCAGCTTTGCCCTTACACCCTGGCACCTTCCCCTTGGCTTATTGGAGAGAAAAAGAGGGCTGTAGTTTGTGTGGTTTGGTTTTCCAGTCATTGTGGAGCTGCCTCTTTCCAAGACAGTGGTGCTTACAAAATCTCTGTAGTCTCTGCTTTTGAACTCACTCTGTAGAAGCTAAGTGAGGCCCAGAAAGTTGAATGACATGTCCAGGGTGAGCGGGGTGCGTGTGTGACGTGAAGGTCTCTACCCTGAAGCTGGTAGTAGCTCGCCTTGTGGCCGCTTCACTGACACTGTGCAGAAGTGAGTGTGTTGCTGGTGTCCACAGCCCAACTCCCTGTTGTTGCTGTAGGAACAAGGTCAAGCTTCATGTGCCGCAGTTAGCGTGCTGTCGGGCTGTGAGAGCCCACATGCGGAAGCTTAAAGATGGTGGGAAATTGGAACCATGTGTGAAGAGAACTGGGCATTTCTGCCGTACCAGAGAGGTTGCTGTGTCTATCTTGGACCTAGCGTGACCCTTGAGGCCTGGTCTCAAAAGGTGACAGCAGAGATAGGTGCTGGCAGTTCGTAGCCACGGCTCAGGGCCAGGCCAAGGGAGCTGCTGTTCTTTTCCTCCCACAGTAGTAGGTTTGTTTCCTTCCTTTTTCAGCCCCAGAGATTTCTACCTAATGTGCCAGGTCCTGTGGTTATATGGGGCACATAGAATAATGGCCTGATTTTCTTGGAACAGGACACAGAGGTGCACATACGCAAGTGTACGTGTATTTAAGCAGAAGTACGTATTTACTTAGGCTAACACTTGCACTGCTCTCTCCGCCCACTCACCCGTGATGGGTACTATCTTGTTGCCGTTATGGGTGATTGTTAGGTGTGTGGGGAGATTCCCTGGAAGAGCCACACCTGGGGGACCTGGCAGGGACGATCCAGGTCCTGCTCTATGACAGTTTGGTGTTTGGTGGCACAGAGCTTCTGAGGCAGAGCACAACAGTTCTCAGACATGACTTCACTTTCCTGGCTGGTGTCCCTGTGCCTCCTTTTATTTCCTGTATTTTTAAAAAAATTTGTTTAAAAGATATATTTATTTATTTGAAAGGTAGAGTTACAGAGAGAGAGAGAGAGAGAGAGAGAGAGAGAGAGATCTATATGGCTACAGCTTCTGGAGCTGGGCCAATCTGAAGCCAGGAGCATCTTCCAGATCTCCTATGAAGGTACAGGGGCCCATGGATTTGGGCTATCTTCTGCTGCTTTCCAAGGCACATTGGCAGGGAGCTGGATCAGAAGTACTGCTTGAACTGGTGCCTGTATGGGATGCCAGCGCCACAGACAGCATCTTTACCTGCTGCGCCACAGTGCCGGCCCCTCTTTCCTTAGGTTTGTTTCATTTATTTGAAAGGTGGAGAGACAGAGAAACTCCCATCTACTAGTTCATTCCCCAGATGGCTACAGTGGCTGGGGCTGGGCCAGGGCCAGGCTGAAGCCAGGAGCCAGGAACTCCATCTGGTCTCCTTCATGAATGGCAGGGTCTCAAAGTCAGGACCGTCTTTCTCTCTTTCCCACGTGTATTATTAGGGAGCTGGATCGGTAGTGGAGCAGCTGAGTCTTGAACCCTGATTTGGTTGCAGGCTTTGCAGGACCACAGCACCAGCTCCCTTGTGTCTCCTTTTCGCAAGGGTAGGGCATGTGCTTCACCTGTTAACTGGCAACTCCCTGGTAGTGGCGGTCACTGTTTTGGGCACTGATTTTTTTTTTTTTCCCTCCTCTTCCTCTGCTTCTCCTGCCTTCACAGGTTTCTAAGGTAAATGGAGTCACTCGAATGTCATCTCTGGGTGCAGGTGCAACCAGTGCCAAAAAGATGCGCGAAGTCAGACCTTCACCATCCAAAACTGTGAAGTACACTGCCACGGTGACCAAGGGGACTGTTACATACACCAAAGCCAAGAGAGAACTGGTCAAGGAAACCAAACCCAATCACCACAAGCCCAGTTCCGCTGTCAACCACACAATCTCAGGGAAAACTGAAAGTAGCAATGCAAAAACCCGCAAACAGGTGCTAGCCCTCGGGGGGGCGTCCAAGTCCACCGGGCCTGCCGTCAATGGCCTCAAGGTCAGCGGCAGGTTGAACCCAAAGTCATGCACTAAGGAGGTGGGGGCGCGGCAGCTGAGGGAGGGGCTGCGGAATTCCAAGAGGAGACTGGAAGAGGCACAGCAGACGGAAAAGCCGCAGCAGTCACCCCCCAAGAAAATGAAAGGGGCAGTGGGCCCTGCCGAAGCCCCTGGTAAAAAGACAGCTGCAGTGGCGGCAGCCTCGGCAGAGAAACCTCTGCTGAATGGACATGTGAAGAAGGAAGTGCCCGAGCGCAACGTGGAGAGGAGCCGGCCGAAGCGGGCCACGGCTGGGAAGAGCACTCCCGGCAGACAAGCACATGGCAAGACGGACAGCGCCCCCTGTGAAAATCGTTCTACCTCGCAACCGGAGCCCTTGCACAAGCCGCCCGAGCCGCCGGGGAAGCCCGAGAAGGGTGGTGGCAAGGCGGGGTGGGCAGCGATGGACGAGATCCCCGTGCTCAGGCCCTCCGCCAAGGAGTTCCACGACCCCCTCGTCTACATCGAGTCGGTGCGTGCTCAGGTGGAGAAGTGCGGGATGTGTAGGGTGATCCCCCCTCCGGACTGGCGGCCCGAGTGCAAGCTCAACGACGAGATGCGGTTCGTCACACAGATCCAGCACATCCACAAGCTGGGCCGGCGCTGGGGCCCCAACGTGCAGCGGCTGGCCTGCATCAAGAAGCACCTCAGGTCTCAGGGCATCGCCATGGACGAGCTGCCGCTCATCGGTAAGCTGGGGTGCTGGCCACTGTTCTCCCTAGTGCCCCTGGCGCTGGTCCAGGCGCCTGCGCCCAGTCCCATTGTGTCCTGGGCGAGGTTGTTCATGGGCTGTGCATGTTGAGCTCAGACCTCAGGTGGCCTTGACCTCATGCTCTTTGGCATGACTGGCCCCTGCTGCCAGAGGTGTTGGGTCAGTGACCGTGAAGGCCACTTGCCTTCTGTTGCAGTCTGTTCTGGCTGCCATGACAAAGAGCCCCCACCATGTGACATTTGTTGTCTCACAGTGCTGGAGACCACAAGTCCAAGACCAGAGCCTCTGTGGACTGATTCTCCCGAGGCCCACCCCCCTTGGCTTGGGGATGGCTGTCTTCCCCCTGGGCTCACCTGTCTTCTTCCTTCTGTGTCTGTTTCCTTATCACATCTTTGGAGGACACGAGTAAGATTGCGATGGGATCCATCTGTCTGAACTCTTTTTTACTTAACCTTAAAGACCCTGCTTCTAAATAGTTTAACATCCTAGGGTCCTGGGGTGGTTTCACAGGTAACCCTCAACCGGCCAGAGACAGGCTATGTTTTCTTCCTTCTGGTCTTTGTTTCTCCATCCTCCACATTTTCTCTTGACCTTGAGTTTTTCTCCTGATCAGCTGAGCCCTTTTCAAGGCCACAGCTCAAGGGACATGGTGACATCCTGAGGTGTGGCACTGGCAGGGGCTGATGGGCAGCTTGCCACTTTGAGTCCTGCTATGAATGCACGTCCAGGCAGTTGTGGAAACCCTGGCTCCTTGGGGCATTCCAGGCAGAACCCACTTGGAGCTCCCCTGTTGCTCATTCCACCTCTTTCAGCCTTCAGTTCTTGAGCTCCAGGATGAACTTGCTATGTCACTCTGCTGAGTAGAGTCTTTCTGAAGATCTGGGGAAGGTCTCCTACCTCCTTCCTGCTCTGCATCTCTTCCTCAGAGCAGGAGGCAGGACATGCCTTTGGGAGATCCCAAGTTTTCAAAGGCAGGGGGCTGTTGAAGGCATTCAGCCATTGCTTACTGTTAAGAGTTAGCCAAGGCCGGCGCCGCAGCTCACTAGGCTAATCCTCCGTCTTGCGGCGCCGGCACACCGGGTTCTAGTCCTGGTCGGGGCGCCGGATTCTGTCCCTGTTGCCCCTCTTCCAAGCCAGCTCTCTGGGCAACACGCTTATGCCCTGTCCAGATGGGACTTGTGGGTGGGACCGAGTCTTCCTCCATGCTACCCTGCCAAGTGGACTGCAGTTCTGCATGGGCAGAACGTGAGCCGTGCGGGTCACATTCTCATGACTGCCAGTGCCCTTTGGTTCACAGTTTTCTTTTTTTCAATTTTTTTTAAAAGATTGATTTATTCATTTGAGAGGCAAAGTTAGAGAGAGGCAGAGACAGAGGCCTTCCATCTATTGGTTCACTCCCCAAATAGCCACAATGGCCAGAGCTAGGCTGATTTGAAGCCAGGAGCCAGGAGCTTCCTCTGGGTCTCCCACTTGGGTGCAGGGGCCTAAGCTCTTGGGCCATCTTCTACTGCTTTCCAAGGCCATTAGCAGTAGCTAGATTGGAAAATGGAACATCCGGGACATGAACCAGCACCCATATGGGATGCCAGTTCTGCAAATGGAATCTTAAACCACTACACCGCAGCACTGGTCCCATGAGTAGTTTTCTTTTTAACCTTGACTTCTTCCTCAGAAGAAGAGTAAGGGGGCATCAGAAGCCAAGTGGATGGTGTGTTTGTGTGTGTGTTCTTTGCCACTATTCCCAGAGGACATTTATCAGATGGGTCCTGATCAGGTCTGTACCCACAGAGGCCTTGGGCAGCACAAAGGACCTGAGATCATTATCATTTCCTGGGATCCAGCCCATGAACACACCTCCTCTGTGCAGGTCAATGTGCCCCTGGCCCCTGGCCCCTGGCCCCTGGGGAGCCCTGTGCTGAGGGTGCTTGGAAGTGATCACCACATGTGACATGTTTCTGCAAGCACAGGTATCAGTAGGTTACAGCGATGTACTTCAGAGTGACTTTCTCCTTTTTTTGAACTGTTCTGAGCCAGTTAATATAGATGGGGGTGTCTGCGAGAAAAGGCTGTGCACACCCAGCTCTGGAGGTAGGACAAACTCCCCACGGCAAGTCAGAAGCCTGGATTGGGTCACAGCATCCTGGGCCTTACGTCCCACTTACGTGCAGGACCCAGGGCAGTTTCTGCATTGACCTGGTAGCTTCTTCCTCCATTGACACAGACAGACCAGGGTGTTGCTCCACCATATAAATGGAATTCAGGCCACTGTGTCACAATCTCAGGTCTCAGCGACTGGCCCAGGACATTGCATTTTTGAGCATTCTCTGTCTCAAGTAGTCCAGGCAGTCACCTGGGGCTGTGGCGGGTATCCTGCAATGCCCAGGGTCTGCAGGGCTCCAGCCTGTTTCCAGCTGTTGACGCTGTGCTTCTGTAGCCCTTAGGGTTCAGCCAGAGTTGTGCCCACTTTTCTTTTTATTTTGCACCCTCCCAAGTACTTACATCTTCTTAGTTTGTACCTTGCTCACCTAGCATTTTGTTGACAATTATTTTCAAGTGTACCCGATCTCCTGACCAGGGAGAGGTTCTTTTCCAGTTCCCATGTGGATTGCATTACTGTGCGTGTACCCTTTGGAGAACTGATCAAGGGAAGTGGGGGCATACACTCTTCAAGATCAGCAGCCTCTCTGTCGCTGGGTGGAGGAACGGCCGAGTAATGGACAGACTGCAGTGTGTTCTTGTGCAAATGTTGCCCTTTACCCTGAAATCCAGTGGAACTAAAAATACACCTCCTTTGTGTGAGTGAGTGACTGAGCAGACTGTGAGGAGAATTAGGCATCAGTGGTGCGTGTTGTGTGTGCAGGCTTCTGACCTCAAAGCTATTCCAGGTGGTGCTGGGACATGATTGCAGCCAGGAGGTCCCGCCCAGTCTCACTTGGGTGGTCTGCTGCTCACCAGCCTCAATGTCACACTTGCTGCCCAGTGGGTAAGGATGCTGTGTGCCAGTGCTTGCTGTGCTAGACTCTTGTGTCTGCTCAGCCAGTGTGCTCTCGCGTTCTACTCAAGCTCCTGCTTCCTGAGACGCCTTTCCTGACCACCCCGTCACTTCTCTCTGTCTTTATTGCACTTGTCCGCGGGCTGTTGTCATGAGATAACCATCTCAGGGTTGACCACAGCAGGGTGAGCAGAGTCCCTAGCCCATAGTAGATATGCAGGACCGATGGACCAAATGTCAGAGGCCTTGTTTGTGTCTGTTGTTCTTACCAACTTCCCCTGTGTTTGCCTCCCTCGCCGTCCAGGAGGCTGCGAGCTCGACCTGGCCTGCTTTTTCCGGCTGATTAATGAGATGGGTGGAATGCAGCAAGTGACTGACCTCAAAAAGTGGAGTAAACTAGCAGACATGCTGCGCATCCCCAAAACTGCCCAGGATAGACTGGCCAAGCTGCAGGAGGCCTACTGCCAGTACCTGCTCTCCTACGACTCCCTGTCCCCCGAGGAGCACCGGCGGCTGGAGAAGGAGGTGCTGATGGAGAAGGAGATCCTGGAGAAGCGCAAGGGGCCGCTGGAGGGCCACACGGAGAGCGAGCACCACAAGTTCCACTCCCTGCCCCGCTTTGAGCCCAAGAACGGGCTCATCCATGGCGTGGCGCCCCGGAATGGCTTCCGCAGCAAGCTCAAGGAGGTGGGCCAGGCCCAGCTCAAGACGGGCCGGCGGCGACTCTTTGCTCAGGAAAAGGAAGTGGTCAAGGAGGAGGAGGAGGAGGACAAAGGCGTCCTCAATGACTTCCACAAGTGCATCTATAAGGTAGCACCCTACTGCCTGCACCTTGCCCGTTTCTGTACACTCCCACCCCAACTGCAAAACTGAGGAAGGGGACGGTGAGGGCACCAGATGGTGTGAGGACAGGGCTAGTTTCGGTGCTGGGCTGAGGAGGATATCTCTTTCCCTTTCCACTGAACATATCTATTGCAACTGTAACAGTCCCACAGACCAGTTCTTTTTTTTTTTTTTTTTTTTTTTTGGGACAGGCAGAGTGGATAGTGAGAGAGAGACAGAGAGAAAGGTCTTCCTTTTGCCGTTGGTTCATCCTCCAATGGCCGCCATGGCCGGCGCGCTGTGGCCAGCACACCACACTGATCTGAAGGCAGGAGCCAGGTGCTTCTCCTGGTCTCCCATGGGGTGCAGGGCCCAAGCACTTGGGCCATCCTCATTTATTGTTTTTTTTTTTTTTTTTTAAAGATTTTTATATTGGAAAGGCAGAATTAGAGTTATCTTTCATGCAATGGTTCATCCCAAAATGGCTGCAATGGCCGGAGCTAGGCTGGTATGAAGCCAGGAGCTTCTGCCAGGTTTCCCACAGGTGTATGGGGGCCCAGGCACTTGAGCTGTTCTCCGTTGCTTTCCTAGGATGATAGCAGGGAGCTGGATTGAGAGTGGAGCAGATGGGTCTCAAACCACTGCCCAGATAGATGCCGGCATCTCAGGCAGGGGCTTTACCATTGTACCACAGTGCTGGCCCCAGATCAGGTGATTTATAATGAGCAGAAATGTGAGGGCTCACCAGCTATGTGGACTGGGAAGCCTAAGGCCAAGTTGTGGAGGTCTGATGAGGCCCTCCTTGCTGTGTCTCAACATGGCTGCAGGGCAGTGAGGGGCCCTACAGGGCAAGCCCACTCCTGTGTTAACAGCATTGAGTTCATTCGTAAGGACAGAGCCCTCATGGCTCCCAGTACTGCCATAACAGTGGCTGCAGCTCAACATGAGTTTTGCAGGGGACAGATGCCACCACCCAGTTCTGTATGACAAGAACATCTGCAGTTGGCCAGGAAGGCTGGAAGGTCTGGGGATCAAGGCATAGACATGAGGCTTTTAGCCAATTGCATGAGCAGCCTTGACTGCCCCTTGGGAGCACTGCAGGAGTTGTTAGTTTGCCGTGGCCTTGGGTTTTTTACCGAACAAGGGGTGGGTGTTTATGTGTTTGTGTGTGTGCGCGTGAGTGTCTAATTCGATGCATCTTATTTTCCCCTGCACCCCCAATTGCAGTTCTGTGCCCTGCACTCTGAGCACCCCCATCTCATCCTGGTACACGTAGGGCTGTCCTGCATGGTTGGGGTTCTGAGACCTGGACTGGTATACTCCATGGACTGTAAGCCATGGTTTTTCTGCCTCATTCCTGTTTGGCACGCCGCTGCCCCATCCTCCCGCAGTGCCGAGAGCCATCACTGACAAAGTGGTCAACATGGTCTCACATGGACACGCTGCAGGGGGAAGAGGTGGGGCAAGAGCAGCAGAGTGAAATGAGCAGTGCTTCTCCCAGGGCTGCTGGCGCTCATTGCCAACCAGGCCATCCTGGGCAGACTCACTCCTCCCAGAAGGGAAGCATCAAGTTGGGCACTCTCCTCCGGCTGCACAGCTGCAGCCCTCCCTGCTTCTGACTTCAGCCCGCCCTCCCCCTCCTTTGCCAGGCATAGGTCAGCAGTGTACCCAGTGCCAGGCCCTCTACACGAAGGCCTCTGCAGAGCTGCCTGGCATAGCACTGCCCCAGTGACGCTGGTGTTCTCTGGCGAGCTGGTGGTCCTGCCAGCTGCTCCCTCTTGGGATGCGCCTGGTGGGATTGACTACACTGATGGTTTCTGTTGCACTGGAAATCTTGGATGTCATTGATCCTCCCTCTCCACCCAATACCTGTAAGGTGTGCAGGGCTTCCTCACCACAGGCCTTGGCCTTTCCCTGCTCATTGGGGTAACACAGGAGTCTGGTCCTCTAGACTTGAGTCTCCTGGGCGGAGTCTGATATGTCTACTGGTTTGTCACTTGGCTTTGGTTCCCCATTTCCATTGTTTGGTGCCGCAGCATAGAAATGGGACACAGGGGTGTGGCCCGGGGCTACTAGCAGCCTGCCCCTAAATCATCTCCTTAGGTTTTCCTGAAAAGGTAGAAGGCAGCCCAGGGACCGTAATGTCTGGAGCAGTTCATCGGTTTCTGACATCTGCCCCAGAGCGTCTCAGAGCCGTTGCTGAGTCCTGACTCCCGCAGGACCACACCTGCTACTTTTCTTTAAGAAGGCCAGTGCTGGGAGCATGCATTAGGTTCACAGAAGAGTTTTTTAAACAATTTTTTATGATTTATTTATTTATCTTAAAGGCAAAGTTAGTGAAGGAGAGATGATGTGTCTGCTAGTTCACTCCCCAAATGGCCTCAGTGTCTGGGCCTGTGCCGGGCCAATGACAGCCATTCAAAGCTCCATCTAGGATTTTCACCTGGGTGGCAGGGGTCCAAGAAGTTGGCCATCTTCTGCTGCTCTCCCACATGCATTAACAGGGAGCTGGATTGGAAGTGGAGCAGCTGGGCCTTGCACCAGGACTCGTATATGAGATGCCAGTTTCACAGGTAGCAGCTTAACGTGCCACTCCTCAGTGCAGGCCCCTTTTCTTTTCTCTCCTTTAAAGCATATTCTACCCAGATTTCACTGGTAGGTTTTTTAAAGCATGCTCTATCTAGGTTTCATTGGTAGGTTTCATTGCCAAAATCCAACAGCTTGGCCAAGGCGTGCGTGGTAGGTTGGGAGCAGTGGCAGCTTGGCCAGGGCGTGCGTGGTAGGTTGGGAGCAGTGGCCCCTGTAGCCCCTCTGCATCCTGGGCTGTTGATGTCACTTTCATCCCCATCCATCAGTGTAAAATTAGGTCCCTCCTCATGATTCTGTTTGTATTTTTACTGGCTGGTGTCGTCAGGGAAAGGGTGGACTGGAGAAATTTTTTGGCCTGGTCAGAAGCCCATCTTGTCCTACTTGGAGAGAGCAGACCCAAATGCCGACATCTCCATGTTATCTGCTGTGACTGCTGATTACAACCCTGCTGCTACGGTGCTGCTCCCAGGTTTCCTCACTGGGGAGATGTTCTCAGGCCTGCGCTGTAACAGCCCCTCTGCCCGGCCGTTTCCGTGCTTGCCTACATCCGCTGCTCCCCCACTAAATGCAGGTTTTGTTCTGTGTGCATGGTTCCCTCTCCTGCCCCTAGAATTGGAGGGTACACACATTGGTGCAGTTGAGGAGTCCAAGCACCCTATCAGTGCAGGGAAAGGCATGGACCTTAGAAGAAGCCTTATCTTTGAAAAATAAACTGTGGTTTGCAGGACGGGTCAAAGCAGCCACCATCTGCAGATTGCAGGCAGTTGTCCTGCCAAAGCCAGCAGATTAGCTGGAGTGTTGTTACTCGGCATGCAGCAGCAACAGAGGGTGTGATGTCTGACCGTATAGGCACCATGGCTCTCCCTGGGGAGCTGTAAAAGGGCAGCATGTGGCTTCTGTGGCCAGAATGTGACCAGATTGCAATTCGGAGTAACGTTGCCTACCTGCTGAGTTACTGAGTATTGAGGACTCTGAACATACAGATATTGCCCACATTTTCCTTTCAAGATCCTCTGGGGAATCCCCAGTTCTGGCTGCTCACGGCTTCTCTGTCTTCCTGGGGCTGCAGCCTTTATCCTTCCCTTTCCCTGGGGCCAATTGAGGAACTCTGCCTAAAAGTGCAAGATGCCTGCTAAAGCGCTGTCCCTTGGAAGGTGTCGTTTTGTCCTTCAGATGTGTGTGCTTGTGCTTATGGACTCGGGCAGGCCATCGCTCTGCTGCTGGTAGCCAGTGGGTCCATTGCTCATCGGCAGCATCCTCCTCTTTCTGCTGTCTGCTTACATGAACTTGGGCTGTGCCCTGGTGACACATAGTGGCCCTCAGCCGCAGAGACGCCACAGAGCGAGGCCTGTGGTGGCACATGCTGATTGTAAGTGTGCGTACAGCTCTTGATTCCTACACCCACATCTGCTTTGTTCTCAGGGAAGGTCAGTTTCTCTAACAACGTTTTACCGGACAGCAAGAAATATCATGAACATGTGCTTCAGCAAGGAGCCTGCCCCAGCTGAGATCGAGGTGAGTGGGGCTGACCTCTTGCTCCTGGGTGGAGGGGCCTTGTGAACTGAAAGGACTCTGGTGGACAGGGGGCTGCTGGAGGTGGTAACGTGAGTTCCTCTAGACGTTCAAAGGCCAGGAACAGTGCAGCGAAGGCAATGAAAGTCCCTGTCTTCACCTGGACTTCCCGGCGCAGAGGCCGCAGGGTGTCTGTCCAGGGGCTGGGCTGCGGGCCCTCTGCCTCCCGCTGCAGCGCAGCCCCTGCCTGCTGTTCCCCGCGCTCGGGGGTCTGTCGTACAAGAGGATGCACCGGACCCCTGTGGTCACAGCCGTGCTTTTCCTTCTCTCCCATTTTCTGTTTAATGGGGTTGGCAATTGGCCATTTTTGTGCCTCTGCCAACTCCCTTCTTTGGGTTACTATGTGGTTTCTGGACAGGGAGCGCGTCTGTGCCCAGACCAGTGCGCGGGAGTTGTGGTGTGAAGTGCTGCAGGACCCAGACTGGGTCTGGTTATTTCTCCTCAGCCAGCGGCCACCAGGGACCCCAGACACTTAGCTGTGGACTGGGGATGGGGTCCAGTCACTGGTGGAGACAGCCACCTCCGGGAGTAAGGGATGGCACTTCTTTTCTTTAATCGTAGACGTCACCTCTGGAATATGAATCCAGTGGGGTTCCTCCCATGTGTCTAGGCGGAACCCCAGAAGTTGCAGCCATCCTGCTGTGCCCAGGCTTCCTGGCAAGGGGCCTTTCCCGCTTCCACAAGGGTGGCTGCTTCCCTGCACCTGTGCTGTGGGGTACACACTTCTGCTAGTGGATCCACCATGGATCTCGAGCCTGGCGTCCTCATTTGGGGAATTCTGTGTATGCTGCTGGCCCTTTGAATATGTAGCTGTCTGTTGATTAGGGTGTTCAGCCTTGGCACTGCACCGTGAGTGTGACCTCACCTTATTCCCCGATTTGGCCCCACCCAGGCCACATCATGGCTGTGGCTGCCATGCTGGTCACTGCTGTCTTCCATCCACATTGAGTCCTGAGTCTGGGACACATGTGATCCTAATGGCCATTGTCAAGGCACTCGTGGCACCCAGAAGAGGTGCAGGCCGTGGCTGTGCCGTATGTATCCCATGAGAGGCTCCTGGAGGCAGAAGGGTTTATTGCTATTCCAGTGTATGACAAAGAGTAGCTAATTTTATGGTTTTCTACAGGGGAATTAATTCCCTCTGAAAGTGTGGGTTTTATTGACAATTTGCTAAAATTCAGAGTTCAGTCCAGGGCTGCCTGCGGCTTGTGTTCCCCACTCTGTCAAGAAGGTGGACCCGCGTCTTGGCTGGTGGGCGGAAGCTGGAGCCAACAACTGTTTAAGGACAGTCCTTCTTCACTTCCCACTTCCTCACAGATGCCCCAGAGGTTGGGAGCTCTGTCAGCAGATGGGGGCCAGGTGGGGGCCACTGCCCAGACTCCTCAGTCAGGCTGTTGCTTTGTTCCTTCCAGGCCAGGAATCCTTCCTGATGTTGAATGCATTCAAGATGTTATTTATTTTAAAGGACAAGTTACAGAAAGATAAGAGGCAGAGAGAGAGAGGTCTTCCATCCACTGGTTCACTCCCCAAATGGCCACAACAGCCGGAGCTGGGCTGATCCAAAGCCAGGAGCCAGGAGTCAGGAGTGTCTTCTGGGTCTTCCACACAGGTGCAGGGGTCCAAGGACTTAGTCCATCTTCCACTGCTTTCCCAGGCCAGAGCAGAGAGCTGGATTGGAAGTGGAGCAGCCAGGACTCTAACTGGTGCCCATATGGGATGCAGACACTGCAAGCAGAAGTTTTCCTGCTACGTCACAGTGCTGACCCCTGAATTCATTCTTGATCTGTGGACATGGACACCTCCACTCAGGTTCCCCTTGGTCAAGGTCATGGTGCCATGGGATGTGCGGTGGTGTTGCTCCGAGTACTTTGAGCTGAGCATTCCATGGGCAGGCTCCTTCCTGAGATGAGGGAGGTGATGCTGCGCTCCCAGAGCAAAGAGGAGAGGTGTCTGGCAGCAGAGGGTTTTAAGAGGGGAGCTGTGCAGTTGCTTACCTGGGCTCAAGGCATGTTCTTGATCTGCTCTTCATCCCAAGATCAGTTTGGACAGAGCTTGTGAACAGCAATGGAGAGGCTCCTGAACCTGCCAGTGTGTTCCCCGGCCCCCAAACCATACCCCCGTAGTGCCCTACTTCTGGTATGATTGGCCTGGGTGGTAGTCTGTCTTCCCCAGTCTTACCTCCTCCAGTGACCCTCGCCTGCAGCCTGGACGCTGACCCCTTGTGACAGCCAGGCTTCTAGGTGGTCACAGATGTGGGCAGTGCGCGTGTGAGCAGATGCCCGCTGCAGGTGGTCATAGGTGTGGCCGTGTGTGTGCACCATGCACAGGGCTTGCCGGCTGCGGTTTTCACAGCAGGAGCAGCGGAGTAGGAAGTCTTCAACCTCTTTCCTATCATTGCTTCTTTACAAAAATATCGTTTGGCACAACATTCCTTTTCATTTACTGGGGTAACATACACGGTTGTCAGCAGAGTGCGCCACCTGGCCGATGGGCCGCCGTCACCTGCCCCCGTCACAGATGTATCACATCCTCCCGACCCGTAGCCTCGTACTCACCAGGCACGAGCTCCCCAGCCCCTCCCTGCAGCGCCTGACAGCCCCCGTTCTCCTGTCTGTCTCTGGACTTGGATGATTGCAGTTAGCTTCCAGCAGTGGAAACCCGTGCTGTTGTGCTTTGTGGCCATCCCATCACTGAGCATGTCCTCACGTCTTCAGGGTCCACCGTGGAGCCCAGTATGATTCCTGTCTGTATATGCTGCTTTGGTACTTAAAAAAAATTGTGGAAACGTGGAATTAAATGGCACATTTGTTTTTCTGCGAAAAATCTTATGAAGCTTTTTTCTTAATAAGAATTTTCCCATGTTTTCCCATGGTACACTTTTTTCACGGTCTTTTGGAAGGCCCCTCGGTTCTTTATCGGCTCATCTTTAAACACACTGGGGCTGCTGTGAATAGTGGTGTATAGCCGCGTCCCAGGTTGGGAGAGCACCCAGAGCTGAGCCTGTGGTTGCCATCTGAGTTAGCGTTCTGTCTGGGTCGCCCAAGAGCAGCTGTGAGCCAGTGTGGCTGGGGCTGACGGGCTATTTCCTCTTCCCACAGCAAGAATACTGGAGGCTGGTGGAAGAGAAAGACTGCCACGTGGCCGTGCACTGCGGCAAGGTGGACACCAACACTCACGGCAGCGGGTTCCCGGTGGGAAAATCCGAACCCTTTTCAAGGTACCTCTGTGGGCCCTCTTGTCCACATTCTGGGGACTGGGTGGCAGCCTTCCCCTGCTGGCCTGTGACCTCCCTTGTCTTTCCCTCCACAGGCACGGATGGAACCTCACGGTCCTCCCCAATAACACAGGGTCCATCCTGCGTCACCTCGGTGCTGTGCCTGGTAAGTGTGACTGCAGCTGCCTTCCCACTGAGAGCCAGGGCCCGCGTACCTGGCACTGAATCCCCAGACTGGAGATGCTGATTTGACAGTGAGGTCATAATGGGTCAAGTGACTAAACACTTGGAATAGTGAAGCGCACAGAATTCACTTTCGAAGCTGCTTGGGCTCCTGCAGGCTGAGGCCATGCATTCTTGGTAGTCAGAGGCCAGGGGTGAGGTGTGCTTCACACACTTCCCGGAAAAGCCAGGAGCCATGAAGTTTGTGGACCCTGAAGGCCAGGACTCATGGAGAACCCCTCCTGAGGACCCGTTCCCAACATGTATCCCACTCTACTAGCTGTAGTTGTTTGATCCTTTTTAAGATTTATGTAAAAGAGTTACAGAGAGGGAGAGACAGAGCAAGCTTCCATCCACTGGTTCACTCCCCAGGTAGCTACAGCAGCCAGAGCTGGGCCAGGCTGCTGCTCATATGGGATGCCAGTGTCAAGGGATAGGATGCCACCATGCCAACTCCCACCCCACCCTTTGCATAGGTGGTTGGCGCCTCTGTTCTCAGCCTGCAGAACTCAGATGTCTCCTGTTATTTTGAAAGTGGCCTCATTGTTGATTCCACTTCTGTATATCCACTAGATAAGAGGAGATACTGTCTTCTCATGGAATTTTACCTTTTAAATCCCATTTCTTTTTCTCCTTATTTAAGAGAACAGAGTGATTTTTTTTTATTTTTTTATTTTTTATTTATTTTATTTATTTTTTTTTTAATTTTTGACAGGCAGAGTGGACAGTGAGAGAGAGAGACAGAGAGAGAAAGGTCTTCCTTTGCCGTTGGTTCACCCTCCAATGAGAACAGAGTGATTTTTTAAAAAAATTATTTATTTGAAGGGCAGAGTTACATACAGAGAGAGGGAGAGACAGATCCTCCATCTAGTGGTTCATTCCCAGAACAGCTAGGGCTGGACCAGGGCAAAGCCTGGGGTCTGGAACTCCGTATGGGTCTCCATGTGCGTGCAGGAGCCCAAGTACTTGGGCTAACCTTTGCGCAATGCCAGAGTTGCAGGGGGCTGGTTAAGGGGTTGCACCCAAAGTGACTTGTATTGAGACATTGTTGCCATGCTATAAGCTGCCTTTTCCCTCTTCAGGAGTGACTATTCCCTGGCTCAACATTGGCATGGTTTTTTCTACCTCATGCTGGTCTCGAGACCAAAATCACCTTCCATATATTGACTACTTACACACTGGTGCTGACTGCATTTGGTGAGTAGGTCCAGCCCTCTCCACAGAGTCCAGGTTGTTGGGGAGGGGCTGTGGAAATGTGAGTCAGCCGTTCCCCGTGGCCTGCTGGGGTCCATCGATGGGTAGCTGGAGGTGTTTGGGATATGGACACCATTTGCTGTGGGAGTGTTGCAGGCGGAGCAGGATATTGTCTGGAATGAGCTAGTCTGTGCTTACTGCTCAGCTGTTCTTCTTGGCATTGCCTGCTAATACCTGATTGGTGGTTTTGAGTTTGAGACATTCGTTTTGTTGTTGATTTGGAATTCTAAGAGTTTAAAGTTGAGCAGTGCTGTGGCCACAATTCTCAGCTTTCTTAGAAACCTTTCTGATTTCTTACCGCCTCTACAGCTGGGGCCACAGTAGAGTTTTTAGGAGCTGTGGCGGCATACGCGTGTCTTTGCACAAGCTCTAACACTGCGTGCACAGCGTGTGGGGGCCCCTCTGGTGGTGGCGGGTGCAGAGTGGGCGCAGCCCAGCAGATACTCTGGCGTCGGAGAATCCCTCGCTGTTGTCCTGGCGCGGGATCAGCCTTTATTAAAATAAACATCGAACGGGTTCCCTCCAGGGCCAGTGATGGTGGCTGCTTGTTTGGATTTGGGAGCACTGCTGGTGGACAGCTGTGCCGCAGAGGGCGCAGGAATAACCCTGCCTGCCGCCACAGCCGTTCCTGGGGGGGACTTGGTGTGATGTGGCCTGGGACCCGGGCAGGGCTCCTCCGAGTCTCCGTTCCACCTCTGAAAAGCAGCTGTGAAGTGGCCCACATGGGCTGCTGCTTACTGCTTATGCGCTGGGCCAGAGGCAGTGACAGGCGCGATGCCGTGGGTGGTTTGAAGACTGGGCCCTCACCGAGGGGGAATGGGCCGAGAAGCTGACGCTGTGCAGGTTTTCTTTATGTTAGAAACTGCATTTAAATCACAAGTCGTGACCCAGTGCTGGCGTCGAGATAACGTGGTGTACTGCTGCCTTCGCTTAGTGACTGAAGCTGGGATCTGACAGCCAAGAAGGAGTTTTAGACACCCAGGGAGGGGCTGCTGCCCGGCCTGCACTGTGGAAATGCAGGGATGAGGGCAGCTGGCGGAGTGACCTGTGACATTCCCCGGGATCACTGCCTGCGTTGCGTTTGGTTTTCACTGTTGGTCAGTGGTGCCGGTGGCTTGGGCAGTGCGAAATCTTGCCAGACCATTGTCCACTCACATCCTGTGGCTCAGACTGCCTGTGAGTCAGGGCTGGTTGCCCCCAGCCTAGCTCCACCCTGGAGGGATGGGAGACTTGTTCATGCTCAGTGCCTGGGCGCAGGGACTCCGTGGGTGTCAGTATGGCCAGGTGGGCTGCTGGGGACACCAGTGAGACCTCCCCCAATCCCAAGAGCACATGGGGTTGTTTCGGATTCCCCTGTGGATCAGGTGCCCCTGCAGCTAGGGCCCTGCTCCTCCTCGTACTTCCCACAGGCGCTGCACCCGGAAGGGCCTGTGTGTTGTCCCTGGGCTGCCACTTCCACCACCTTTTGGTTGCTCAGAGTGCCTACACAGGCCCTGTGGCCAGGGTGCTGCTAGGCAGGCTAGGTTCCTACACCATGGATGCCAGGATTCCTGGGGCCTGGCCCCCTCCAAGCCCCTGTGTCCCCGCAGCTGAAGGTAGGCTGGCTGTGCACGTGCTCAGCTCTTCCCCTCTGAGAACATGGCTCTCGTGTTCTCCTGGCTCATCGCTCGCTCAGGCGCGCCCTGGCAGGAAGCCGGGGAATCGCATCAGCTCCGTCCTGAGCTTCCTTACGGCAGGGGTAGGCGGTGCGGAACTCAGACAGGCAGAGACGCTGTGGTTCCGTGTTCCCCAGAGGCTAGCAGAGATGGCCCTCTGTCTGGTTCTCGTTTAGAGGGCTTCTCCAGCATCTGGTTTTGGTTGAAAGGCTTTGGCTCACTGTGTGGGTCAGATGTACACAAAAGATGATTCTCGTATGTTGTGGGCTGGCTGCGGTTTCGGTTTGGCCCTGTGAGCCAGGATGACCGTGGCCGTGGTGGGCAGTGACAGCTCCTAGTGCCCAGCCAGCCCTGTCCCTGCCGTATGGGACCCCTCTTGTGCTAGGCCCGGTCCACTTTGCAGACCTGGGTGCTGCCTCCCCCAGGGAGGTGGGGATGGGCCCTCCTGTGCACAGTGTCCTTAGCAAGCCTGGACTTTGCCTGTGTGTGCTACACCACAGGTATTGCATTCCTGCTGAGGAGGAGAACAAGCTGGAGGGCGTGGTCCACACCCTGCTGCAGGCCAACGGCACCCCCGGGCTGCAGATGCTGGAGAGCAACGTCATGGTACGTCTCCCCCCGCCCCACGGCTTCCCAGGGCCTTGTCCTTGGGTGCTCAGAGGCTGTGCTGCGGAGTCGCCCTTCTTGCTGAGCAGCCTTTCACGGGCTCCCATCACATCCCACGGGACCCTGGGTGGTGGACGTAGGGAGTGTGCCTGGCTGCCTGCAGGTTTGTGTGGCCCCTGGCGAGGGGCCTCGGTCAGGGCAGTGGCTCTGTGTCTGCCTGTGCTATACCAATTGAGCCACCAGCAGGAACCAGCTGCTCTGGGTCTCTCTGGCCTGTGCTGATACTGTCTGTGCCTTGGGCTTGTGACTCTGAGATCCTGGGCTGTCCGGCACCTGGAGGATGACAGCGGCCCCTCCAGCAGCCTTCTGGCTATGTAATCGGCCCCATGCCTGATTCCTGGCAGTGCTGGGTGAGGTCAGAAAGGCTCGGGGTGTGGTTCCTGGGGTGGTGGGGCCAAGAAGCCGGCTCAGCCTGTCACTTTGCGGCCAGTGTTGATTTAGAACTATTGCTGCATTAGGAATGATTTCCTGCTAGTTCTAAAGGAGAAACGAGGCCGTGGGAGGAGGGCAGGGGACTCAGCCTGGCCCTGTTCCCCAGATCTCGCCAGAGGTGCTGTGCAGAGAGGGCATCAAGGTGCACAGGACGGTGCAGCAGAGTGGCCAGTTTGTCGTCTGCTTCCCGGGCTCCTTTGTGTCCAAAGTGTGCTGTGGCTACAGCGTGTCCGAAACCGTGCACTTCGCCACCACCCAGTGGACGAGTATGGGCTTCGAGACTGCCAAGGTGAGCAGGCCCAGCTGCCGCCCCCGTAGCACATCCTTGCGTGTGCGCGTCTGTCTGAAATCCTGAAGCGTCGGCTGGGAGGATTTTCTGGGCAAGTTTTCAAGGGGTCGGTTGGCACTGACTAGTGTCCTCCCCGAGCTGCTTCAGGGTGAACAAAGTAAGCGGCAGTAAACCCCTGCTTTTTCTCACGATGCAGCCTCCGCCTCACGTGGAGGCGCCGCGACACGGTGTTGATGCCTTTCTCCCTTTGAACAAGATCACTTGCTGCCCATAGCTCTTCATTCCTGCTGCTTCCGGTTTGGAAATCCAGGTCGTCGGCCTGCTCCCTCCACCAGCAGCCGCCTGGACAGCAGCGTGCTGACCTGATGTGCTGTGATTCTGCTTTTAGGAAATGAAACGTCGCCACATAGCCAAGCCCTTCTCCATGGAGAAGTTGCTCTACCAGATCGCGCAAGCAGAAGCCAAGAAGGAAAACGGCCCCACTCTCAGCACCATCTCTGCCCTCCTGGATGAGCTCAGGTAAGAGCTCCGGGCCGGGGAGTACGGCTGCCCGGCCCTGCAGCAGCCGCTCCCTGGGGACCTGGATTCGTTCTCTCCCTCGCTCCATGCTCTGCTGCGCCCAGCTCTCCTGGTGTGAGCGGGAGGTGGGCCCTGCTGACTCTGCCGTGCCTCGCCCGAGAGGGCTGTGGCCAGGTAGTGAGGGAGAGCTGTGGCGCCAGCGCTGGCCTCTGCACCCCAGCAATCGAGGATGGTGTGGCGACTGACCCACAGTGCCTGAGCGTGCATCTGCGCCATCCCACTCGGGGGGGGTGTGAGGGAGAGACACCCCAAGAGCACCAGATAGTGTGGCTTCCTGCACAGCCCGGTCCTAGCAACCGGTTGTGAGCTTTGCCATTTCTGCCCCTTCCCAGGGGTGTGGGCGGCAGGCAACAATTGGGATTCTGCCTGTGTTGGCACAGCTTTGATGGTGACACCAACACAGGTTTGTTAAATCTGTCCCGGGCTCAGAGTGGTAGAGGGGCCCTAGCCACAGCCAGGCGTGCTTCTGCCCGCGAGGCACCTCGGTGGCTCCAGCAGTCTGGATGGTTCTGACGTTGTGAGTGACTAAGGGACGTGGGCTGCAGCTGGGCTCCCACCCGCGCGTGTGCACTGTGTGGGGCAGGCCGGCCCCCTGCAGAGCTGGTGGAGTGCCGGCCTCTGTGTGGCCCGCAGGGACACGGAGCTGCGGCAGCGCAGGCAGCTGTTCGAGGCAGGCCTCCACTCCTCCGCACGCTACGGCAGCCATGACGGCAGCAGCGCGGTGGCGGACGGCAAGAAGAAGCCTCGGAAGTGGCTGCAGCTGGAGACGTCGGAGCGGCGCTGTCAGATCTGCCAGCACCTGTGCTACCTGTCCATGGTGAGCCCTCCCCGGGGTGCTGGGGCCCTTCCTGGCGTTCATCCATCTCTGGGCTCCACACTCCGCGCTCCTCACTTCCTTCCCGGGAGGTCGTGCAGGGTGGGCTAGAGTGGCCCCTATGGTCCTTTGGTCATGTGACCCTCTCACACGTGGGATTCTGTTCAGGTGAAACTTCGTGCCCTGCTCATGGTGCCAGCACCCTCTGCTCCGATGTGCGCCTTGTGACCTTGCATCCGCCCATCTTGGGCTCCATTTGCCTTGACAAACTGGTTCCTGTCCGCTCTCTTGCTGGTCAAGTCCCATCTGCCTCCTTGTGGCCCCTGCCAATCCAGATTTGGTCTCAGGAAGGTGTTCCTCCTCTCCCGTCCCCAGCCCCCAGGCCAGCGTCGGACAGATGGCACTGGTGTGGCCCCCAGCCCTCAGTGGGCAGCCGCCCTGATACGGCTCTGGGCCTTGGGGCACCCCCAGCCGGGGCTCACAGTGGCTCCCTGGCGTGGAGGGTAAGCTGTCTGTCAGTCCTTGGCCCTGTCTCGCTGTTGCTCCCAGAAGCCACAGTGACTGGAACTGTGTGGCAGGACTTTGTGCCCCTTCTGTCAGTGCTGGGCCGGGGTGGAGATCAGGCCTGCCTGCCTCCCCCCACATCTCCATCACCTCCCCTGCGGCCCTGTGCAGAGGCCCAGACAGCCACTTCCAGACGAGTCCCCTGTTGTGTGTGACACTGAGAAGAGGGATCAGTTCACTTCCCTGGTGGGGGAGCCACTTCCGGGGTGCTGGTCTCTCCCCACGTCCCGTGCTCTGGGGTCACAGAAGTCCCAAGCTCTCCCCAGCCACAGGGGTGGTGCCCATGTGACGCTGGCTGTGCTGCGCAGGTGGTCCAGGAGAACGAGAACGTCGTGTTCTGCCTGGAGTGCGCGCTGCGCCACGTGGAGAAGCAGAAGTCCTGCCGGGGGCTGAAGCTCATGTACCGCTACGACGAGGTCGGTGGCAGCTGGGCCTGGGCGCGCGCGTGGGGAGGGTCGCATGCCTCTCCTTGCCCACACAGCAGGAGTTGCCTCTGGGTAGATAAGCTTTGTCCAGAGACTGACGTTGCAACTGATGGGCTCTGGCCCAGCCTACTCTGGGGAACCAAGGATCGCGACTGTTTGTTCCAGAGTGTTCTTGGGCCGGCACGGGCTGCTTCTCCATGTGCAGATCTGTCCCTGCGTGCTGGTGGCAAGCAGTTCCAAGGAGCTGGAACACAGCCCATGGCATCAGTGTGGTTTTGTCCTAGGCCTGGCTGGGGCTGGATGTGCCATCGCCATGGCTCAGCGTCATCCCATTTCCCAAAATGGGGCCCTCTCCTTGCACCAGTCTCCTTCCCCTTGGGCCCGGAACTCATTCAGGCTCCTTGTTAGGCGCCAGTAGCCACCTTGTCTGTGTGCACGTGTGTGTGTGTGTGTGTCCCAAAACAGGATCACCTAGGTGGGGGAGCCACTTCCAGGGTGCTGGTCTCTCCCCACGTCCCGTGCTCTGGGGTCACAGAAGTCCCAAGCTCTCCCCAGCTGCAGGGGTGGCGCCCATGTGACGCTGGCTGTGCTGCGCAGGTGGTCCAGGAGAACGAGAATGTGTCTTGCTGCCCCAGCACCACACAACTGACCTCTGAACTGGACCCGCCTTTGGGGGATGTCTGGTGACATCACTGGAAGCCGGCAGCACCTCTCCAGGCTGTGACCGCCAGAGGCGGCGGTAGATGACAGCACTGTCCTGGGGCCCAGTGCCCCTCGGAGCCCTGCCCATGCCTCGCTGGGCTGGCCCTGCTTTCCTGTGGACCTAACCTTCAGCTGCTCCCTAGCGCCCCGGCTAGAAGTTTCAGCTGTGCCTCGGTTCACAAGGGATTTGGCGTCCCTTTCCAGTGTCCACGGTGTCTGGCAAGACTGCTGCCTCCAGGCAGAGGCCCTCACTGTGGCTCCCTGCGAGGGACGCTGGGCAGGAGCTCCCTGGCCTTCTGCCCTGCCACGCCCACAGGCCAGCCCTACAGGGGAGCTGTCAGGGCAGGACCCTGCAGCCAGGCTGAGAGAAGCTGCACCCTCCCCAGCTGCAGCTTGTCTTGTTGCACCCGTGCTGGGTTCCGCAGCTGCACTGCAGTCACGGCAGGGCAGAGTGTGTGCGTAGCTGTGACGTCACGGTGGGACCCCCGAAGCCCCTGGGGGAGGGGTCTGTAGCGGGGACCCCTCTCCCAGCAGTGTCCCGCGTCTTTCATCTTCACCGGAGCCCCTCAGGCACAAGCACCATGCTGCCCTGTACAAGGCTGCAGGCCCCCCAGGGCAACCCCCTTGCGAGGCCTTGCATCCGACGGACCCACTGGTGTCCCCTAAGGGGCCACAGCCAGTGCAGAGCCTTGGTCCGTGACAGACTGGCAGCTTCCTCCCCTGCAGTGGTCCTCGCCCCCTCTCGGCGGCCACAGCCACCTGCCTGGCCCCTTTCCTGCAGGTGCTGGCTTTGTCCAGTGGTCGGGGTGGCCATGGGCTCCTTCAAGGGAAGCCAGGCCTGCCGGGGCCCTGCGCCTCCCTTCCAGGAGGGGCCAAGGGTGGGGCAGACTGCACAGGGGCAGCGAGAGGTAGCTTCTTTTGGTGGAAGATGCCTCACTGAAGCCATTGGCTGGATCACGAGATTGGGAGCCAAGAGAGGGTAGAGGGTTTTGCTTTAGGGAGCACGTGCAGTGACGGCAGGGACCCCTTAGCCTGCCTGCGGCCCCTGCTCCTTGATGTCAGAGCCAGGTATCAGAGCAGGCTGGCGAGTTCTCTCACCCACACCCTGCACGAGCTGATAGTGAGGATCCTGCGAAACTCCAGTCAGGGCTGGTGGCAGCAGCCACCCACAGCCAGGTGGGTTTCTGTGAACCGAGTCCTACAGTGCCGTGCGTGTCGGGTTGGCAAGTCTGCCTCTGGCCTTGAGGAGCGCAGAGCCTTGCACTCATGCATTTGCACTCCTTGGGGAGCCGCTAGTTTGAGGGACCAGCACAAGCTGTGTGCCCAGTAGCAAGTCACCTGCCCACAGATGTGGGACCTACAGGAGGTTCTCAGCCCATGTACACTCGAGCCACACCACTGGGGTGGCACCCAGGAAATAGAATCCCCTGTCCACCATAGAAGCCACTGAACATGTGGCGTGGGCTCCTGAGGACATTTTCCAGTCTCTAGGGCCCTCTGAACATCTGTCCTCCCAGCCCCTGCAGGAATGCCCCTTAGGGCATTCCAGGGAGGCTTTGGAACATCCTTCGGCCAAGTGTGTTATGAGGGGGCAGGCCGGGACAGGCTGCAGGAAACCAAGGTGACAGTGCTTTTCCAAGAATGTGGCCCTGCCGCTCCCAAAGGCACTCGAGAGAAATGTGAGTAGAGAGAGCGAGCTCCCACGCACCGGTTCAGTCCCCAGTTCCTGTGACAGCCAGGCTGGAGTCAGGCTGAATCCTGACTGAACCCAATTCGGGGCTCCCACGTGAGTGGCAGCAACAGTACCTGAGCCATCGCTGCTGCCTCTCGGGCTGTCAGCAGGAGTTCCAGTGTGAGGCGCCAGGCCAGACGCCCGCCTGAGGCCACCTTTCAGGCTGTCACTGTTCTCACCTCCACTTCCTTCAGGGCCTGGCGTCCGGCATCTGGGTGGAGCTGCCCAAGACTGCATGGTTCTTAGCCACCTTGGCCCAGAGATGGGCCAAGGGTGGAACAGTGTGGGATGAGTGGTGGTAAGTTATAAAAGTAAACGTAAAGCAACCACCAGTCAGTGGCCCTCGTAGGTGAGCTATAGGCAAGCCGCTCCTGTGTGCTGGAAGGGAGCAGCAGCAGTGTCCTCCAGCAGGCAGGGGTTAGCATTTACTGCCAAGGCCAACCAGGTGGAGTAGCTTCTGGTGAGGGGATAGCCAGAGTGGATCCACCAGCTTCAGCGTTTGCCCACGCCCAGAGCAGTGTGGCAGAAGCCACAGCCTGCAAGTTTGCCTTTTACCAGGACTGCAGGCTGCAGCAGGAAGCAGTAAGTAGTAAGTAAGCAGTAAGTAGTATGCTAGCCACGTCGGGGCAGGGAGGGCCCATGGTGGTCCCCAGCATCTTTGTGGCCTCAGGGAGGTATTCTGAGTGAGGGCCACTTCCTGTCCCTTCCCGCGGCCACACAGCCCTTCGCTAGCCATGTTTGTCTTGGACATGATCTGGCTGTCCAGGACAGGAGTTCAAGTGCCCCACTTCAACGCAGAAGCTCAGACAGAACACAGTTCTTGGCAAGGAACGATGGACTTCCTGGGTGATGTTGGGGTGCTCGGCATTTTAATCTGGCCTCGTGGCTGCCGGGGCCTGCCCTCATCTTGGCCGGTGGGCGTGGAGCGTGCCCGCCCCGGGTTGAGGGCCTTGTTCCCAGGGGATGCTGAACCCCTTCTCAGCCTCTGTTTGCACATGCTTCCTGGGGGTCCCAGCCAGGCCCGGCTCGGGCTTCCTGCGGGACCTGGGGTCCGCTCGCTTCTCAGAGGGCTCATTTGTCGTTTGCTCCACCCTAACAGGAACAGATCATCAGTCTGGTCAACCAGATCTGCGGCAAAGTGTCTGGGAAGAACGGCGGCATCGAGAACTGTCTAAGCAAACCCACACCAAAAAGAGGCCCCCGCAAGAGAGCCACCGTGGACGTGCCGCCCTCCCGCCTGGCGTCCTGCGGCTCATCCAAAAGTGCTTCGGGCGCATCGTGAGGATGCAGGCACCGCATCGATTTCTATCTATTTTTTGTAATTATTCTATTCTAGTTTGGAGTACTCGCTGTAGGATACAAGCTGTCTTTGCACTAGCTCTGAAGAAGACTTTCTTCTGGTTTTAGAGAACTGATTTTGTTCTAGCATTAAACCGTTGAACCATTGTTTTGTACTTAGAATACCTAGACACTGCAGTCCGATTTTGAAGCTGCCGTATACTCACTGTTTTAAACCCTTTGGGGCTGTATTAATTTGTATTGCCCCTGTGGCTGACAAAAGCCTTTCTGTTTTGATTTTTTTTTTGTAACTGTTGGGGGAAAAAAGGCTTTTTAACCCATTTTTGAAGAGGGTGAAGTTTGGAGAACAAATTTTAAAACCATCAGTCATGTGAGCAGATTTTTCTAGATTGGAAAAGGGATAGGAAACACACACACACACACACACACACACACACACAGAAAACTTGAGAAATGGCTTCGCTTTGGCCGTCTGTTCTTCTGTCACGTGCGAGATGAGCTTGTGTCTGAGGCCGGAGAAGCCGCGTTGCGTCTGCTCGGGCAGTGGTGGCAGCTGGAGGCGGACGCTGTTTCCTGACCACGGGCAAGACGAGGAGACGGGAGTGACTCGGTTCTCTCACCAGCACACCACTATGCATCTGTCTGCGGAAGAAGACCGCCTGCCTGGGAGGGGTCACGTGAGGGAGACCTGTGCCTGATTCCATTAGGAAATCCATTCTGTTATTTTGGTGCTGTTGGCTCCTTTATCAGAAACCCTTCGATAGCGTCCCTCCGGAAACACCAGGAACACAGGTGAAGCCCCGCGTGCTCCCCGCCGTCGCGTGCACTCTGACATTCCATCCGCATCGCCCGCCTCCCGCCGCACCTGCCCCGCTCGGCGTCCTCTCTCCGGCTGCGTTCCTTTGTGTCACTTAGAGCCACTAGGAGGGCTGCAGTTCTTTTTGAATGTGAAAATGCATTTGTGCTCATCTTGTCTATTTTTCTCTTCATGTTGTAACAAAAAGGAAAAGAAAATAGAAAAAAAGAATCCCATCCCTTTTGTACATATGCCTGTAAATTGTTTTAAATACTTGAGCCTTTTTCTCAGTGGGGGCGGGGCGGGGGGGAGAAGACGAGATGAAGAAAAGCCTTACATTTCAGTTTCTTCATCGGTTGGATTGGATGCTTACAGGGTTTTTCTTGTAACGTTTATAAGTGCTGCTTACATCACTGAACAACAACACAATAATGGCGTAGCTGTTGCCCGTCTCCGGTTGTGTGTACAGTATGTGTGGAATAAAAAAGGGAAGCTGTTTTCACAAGCGGTTCTTTGTTTCATACTTGGAGTCACCGACCCCATAGCTGCCCACACTGCACTGAGCTTGCCCGTGGGGACTGCCGCCTTCACCGTGCCGGCTGTTGCGGAGACTGAACTGTGGGAATCTTAGCTGACCTAACAGTCAAGTGTCGCCGACGTGCGTGTCCAGTGTTTCTGCCTTGCTGTGTCCTCCCCTCCTCGACAGTGACTCCTGCCTCTGGCTCACAGGTTGACGTTTAATTTATTAGCGCTGCTCTGCACCCTCCCTGGGGAGGGAGACTTCATGTGGTTTATTGCCAGTTTTTTGTTTACTTTTCAGGTTTGTACTACAAGGTTTAATAATAAAAACAACTTTTTTTGGCTATTTGTCTGTCTTGTGGAAGTGGGGTGATGGCAGCTCTCTTTTCTCATCGCTGGGAGAGGGCGGAGAGGCCCCCTTTGGTCAGGGAGCGGAGCCGAGGGCCGTGCCGCTGGCAGCCGAAGCAGGCAGCTCACACGGCCCCCCGCCGGAGCCTGCCTCTCCCCAGGCTGTCGGAGGCAGCGGGCTGCAGCCCTGGGCTTGGGTCGAAAGCCAGGCGGGGTCAGAACGGAGCCTGCCTGCAGCCAGCTCTGTTGAGGGGAACTAGAAATACTCAGAAGCAGCAGTGCGGAGCCCCCCTCTCCCTCCCAGGCCCTGCCCTCACGCGCCGCCCTGGGTGGCGCAGGGGCTCTGTGGTGGCTTCAGCACGTGTGCGCCCACAGGCCCCTGCACAGACTGGCTGGCACGCCCGTGGTTTCAGCTCAACTTTATTCTCTTCTGTCAGTGTCTCACACATCATTGGCAACTGTAAAAATCCAGAACCCCTACAACCAACCGGACTCGACAGGCGGACTTGGCGTCCTTCACGGGTGCTCGGCGCGCGCAGAGTCGCTGTCATCACTGGCGTCTGCAGTGGCCTCACTGTCGGGCTGCAGCGTGGCCAAGGCCGTGTCCACCTGCACCTCCTCCTCGTCAGATTGCACGAGGGGGGACGCGCTGCCCTCGCTGGCCTCCTGGGCAGCCAGGCCGGTCCGGGGGCAGGGTGAGGAAGGAGGCTCAGCAAGGAACGGCGAGGGGTGTGGGACCTCAAGGGTGATGCCGCAGGGTTGAGGTTCAGGCCCTGCAAGGAAGAGCAGAAACTTCAAGTTGCCTTGGACAGCAGCCCGCTCAAGTCGGCTGGAGTGAGGGGTCTGCAGAGCGGAGCTGCCCCTTCTGCCCTTTGGGGCGGGACCACCAGTGTGGGGCGCCCTTCAGGCCCACAGCAGGCACCACATCACACACACGTCACAGCCACTGGCCTCCGTTCTCCCAGAAACTCCTGGGACTTGGTGTTATCTGCAGCTGCACAGGGGTGGGCCCAGCCCCCCTCTCCAGTGCCATGACCTCAAGCCCAGGGCCCATCCCCTTCCTGCGACAAGACCCTGCACTGAAGTGTGAAACGATGGTGATGAAACTTTCTAGAGGTGGTCCTGGTGTGTGTGGGGGGCTCTTTCCCTTTTCCTCTGGGGAAGAAGGTGAAAACAAGGATGCAGCCAGAAGTGGCTGGAGAGTGGCACGGCACTGAGCCCAGGTCGAGGTCCCTGGGCCTGACAGTTTCGGAACAAACAGGAATCAAGCTCAGGGAGGCAGGCGCACAGTGGAACTGTGCCGGAGCCGCCAGCACGGGTTTGTAAGATGCAGGCCAAGCGCAGAACAGGCCCCGTGCTTGATGGGGGGACACACACGTGCTAGCAGCATGGCCACCGAGTGTGTGAGCTGCAGAGCTGCCTCTGCTTCACTCCCGCCCACAGGAACCAGGCCAGCAGAAAACACAGGTGTGCACACTCGGGTGCCAGGAGGTGCTGGCTGGGCTGGGAGAAGGCCACACTGGGTCCTCCCTCTGCAGAGTCCCTGTGTCAGCCTTACCTGTGACAGGGGACTGCGCAGCGCCCTCCTCTCCACCTGAGTTCAAGAAGACGTCCAGGGCCTCCTGGTCGGAGATGTCCATCAGGTCCATCTGCTCCAGCATGTCCACGTTCACCTCCATGGACGACATGCTGCCCATGGGCTCTGGGAACACACACATATCATCAGGCCTTCTGTCCTCACCATGACCGCAGAACGGGTGGCCAAGGGCCACAGGGCTATTTCACTGCGGGCCACTTGGCATTATCGACGCTCGATCAGTCTATAGCCTTCTATCGACAATGAGTCCTGCCTACCACCAAGTTGGGGTTCCAGTGGCACACTTCAAACTGGAACCTGACAGCTGCCCAGTCACCCTTGGTTACAGTTCTGCCTACACTGCAGCGGTCACTCCACTCCCAGCCCTGGGTTAGCAGGCACTGCTGGCAGATGCATTCCCAGGGGTCAGCAGTTCTTGGGCAGCACAGGGAGCTGCCCCAGGGACCACCGCTAGGACACGGCTGTGCTGTTGGAGCTTCCCCAGGCATTCTGGGCAGAAATGATGCCACGCTCTAGCAAGTCCGCCCTGCCGCGGGGATGTTTCAAGCCCAGCAGCTCAGAGCCGTCTGTCTACAGGAGAGCTGCCTGCAGACCGGTGAAGGCGCAGCCTTCCTGCACACCCAGGCTGTCTGGGTCCGGGCACCTCAGAGTCTGGAGTGCACACAGACAGGTACAAGCTAGTGGGGTCCTCCCAGGCTTGACGGGGCCAGGCAGGCACAAATGCTAACCGTGAGTCTCCCAGGAGCAGAGACGAAGGCAATTCTGATGTACGAAGCATTCATAGCACACCCAGAAACAGACGCGTGCGAGAGGGGACGTTGGCATCCCTTCCCACGAGCGCCAGGTGCCTACTGCCACACTGTGATGCAGTGAGGGGATGTCACAATGAAGTCAGAGCGGTGTTTGAGAAAGAGTCAAATAGCTTCTAGACAGGAAAAACGTAATCACTGACATTTAGGGCTCCAGGCACATGGTAAATAATCAGAACTCCACAGCAAATCAATGAACTAGAAGACAAGGAATATCCCCCTCCCCAAATACCCGGAAGCGAAGTTGAAGACGTGTTCACAGTTCTGAAAGAGGGTGGAAGAACTGTTCCAAGCCTCACTACACCAACTGCACTGAACATCAAAGGTTCTCTAAGACAGCCACAGAGAAAGAGCAGATTACAAAAGAGCAAGAAATAATGAGGCTGACAGGCAATTCTGAACAGGAAAAGCCAGGAGGCAGGAGAACAGTAAGTTCCAGGAGGTGACATAACTGTCATCCCTGAGATAATCAGGTCCCAGTTAAGATCAAGTGTAGGATACGCACTTCAGACCAAGAAAGCACCCCCTCTGGGGCCTGCGCTCACCACAGGCAGAAAGGAGATGTGCGGTGCATGAAGGAAGACACTAGGCGCAAGCCAGAGGTTTCTGCTGAATGAAACTGCACAGCAATCATGGCGGCGGGGGAGGGCTCTGCACAGAGCAAAGCAGCCCTGTTTGATTTGGGAGGGGGCAAGGCACTGTGGCACAGTGGGTAAAGCTGCCTC